AAGAAGGAGGATAATTTTTCTTTCTTTTCTTTAAAATTATATATATACACTCACCGGTCACTTTATGTCATGTCAATATGGACCAAACTTCCTGAGGAATGCTTCCAGCACCTTGTTGAATCTATGCCATGAAGAATTGAGGCAGTTCTGAAGGCAAAAGGGGGTCCAATCCGTTACTAGCATGGGGTACCTAATAAAGTGGCCGGTGAGTGTATTTGATGTATACAAATAAACACCATTACCTGAAGTTTGGGTCCTTGTATGTTTACAGAACTATGTCTGAAGTGTGACCTCAATCTGACATAGCCTACCTTGTACACAGAGAAAGCAAAAGCCAGATGTGTTTTTAATTTATACCAGTGCCTCAGTTGGCACATTGTGTGCTTATTAATATGATTGCTTTGTTAACTGTTTGATAGAAAATACCTTTTTTTTTTTACAAAGACACTGGTGGCTGGCTTGATTGCTCATTCAATCCACCTGTTTAACTCCGCCCATTTTCTCATTATGCTTATCTGATCCACCTGTTTCCAGCTCCTAAATAAACTGTTTGTTTTCCAGCTGCCAGTGCCAGATTATTCAAGCTGTTTGGTGAGAGTAACTCTATTGTTTTGATTATTGTTCTGATTATCTGATTGGGGCCTGTTTCTGCTTGTGGAATCTGAGTTTTTGCTTTGTCCCTGTCTGCTCTATTAGTCTGATCTCTTCTGAACTGATTCCTGGATTTTACTGGCTTACCGAACCCGGACTGTTTTTCTAACCTCTGCTTGGATTCCCCCATCTGTACCTCATGGGGGTATGATCCTATGGTTTATGAACTTGGTTCCATTAGGACTTCAGCTCAGATATTCCCTCTAGGACACAGCTGCTCCTCCGCATCAGTTGGCATCAATTCCACTCATCACCCAGAGCTCGGGGGTCACAAGCAGAGGATCCTCTCCTTCTTGGATTCATCACATCCATCTGTGATCGGACTGAACTCTGAACCAGATCAATGACTATTCCTCTTAGTCGTTATCAGCCATTATTCTTAGTCATTGACCTGAGCTTCTGTTTCTTCAGAGGATCCAGTTTATCTGCTCCAGCTGATGAACAACCGCACACGTTTGTAAATAAAGACTGTTGGAACTCATTCGGATCTGTCTGTTTGAATATTCGGTCCTAGGTTTTGAGCTCTGACAAAAGGTTGTCAAAGAAGAGGAAAAAATAAAGAAATACATTGGAAACTGTTCAGTTAATCAATAATATTTAAACTGCTACATGGTTTTTTATGATTTTTTTATTTTATGATGTGTTCTTAAGTTATTTCATGTTTTTTTGTTTAAGTTATTTTTTCTCTAAATTAAACCAGAAGGACGATAGAGCTGAATCAATATCACACCATGAAGACATCTAGACTCACCGAGCCTTTCTGCAGTTCCTCACAGCTGGGACCAGTCTACATCGTCCATGTTCTGATGTGTTGTACTTCTCCAGGTCTAACTCATCCAGAATCTCCTCTGTCATCTGAAGCATGTAGGCCAGAGCTGAGCACTGGATCTCTGAGAGCTTCATTCCTGATTTCAGGAACTGTTGGATCTCCTGATAAACTGAGAGGTCCTGCATCTCCTGACGACAGTGGAAGATGTTGATGCATCTATCAGTAGAGATCTTATAACTAGTGTTCATCTCCTTCAGATTGTTGAGGACTCTCTGGATAGTTCCTGGACTACTCTTCATCTGACCCAACAGGCCTCCTAAGAGGCTCTGGTTGGACTCCACAGAGAGGCCATGAAGGAAGCGAGCAAACAAGTCCAGGTGGCCATTTTTACTCCTGAGGGATTTCTCCATGGCTTTCTTCATGAAGTCCTCCAGAGATGTTTCTCTGTATTTTTCTCCCAGGAAGTTCTCCACCACCTCTGTGTTCCTGCTGGTGAAGCAGTGGAGCATGTAGACTGCAGCCAGAAACTCCTGGAAGCTCAGATGAACGAAGGAGTAGACTGAGGTGTCGTCCATCCCTCTCTCCTCTTTAAAGATCTCAGTGAACAGTCCTGAGAGCCTTGAAGCATCTTTGATGTTGATGCCACACTTTTCCAGGTCTGGTTTATAGAAGATCAAGTGTCCTTCCAGCAGCTGCTCAAAGGCCAGTTTTCCTAGAGACTGAACCATTTTGATGTTTTTAGCAGTCTTTTGTCTTCCATCATACTTCATCATTTTCCGTTCGATCTGAAGCTTCAGGAAGCGGATGTACATCCCAGTCAGGGTCTTTGGCAGCTCTCCTCCATCTCTGCTCTCCAATAAACCCTCCAGAACATCAGCAGTGATCCAGCAGAAGATGGGAATGTGACACATAATGAAGATACTTTTTAATCTTTTAATGTGGGAGATGATCCTGCTGACCTTCTCTTCATCTCTAAACTTCTTCCTGAAGTACTCCTCCTTCTGTGGGTTGGTGAACCCTCTCACCTCTGTCACCATGCCAACAGACTCAGGAGGGATCTGATTGGCTGCTGCAGGTCTTGAGGTTATCCACAGGAGAGCCGAACGAAGCAGGTCCCCCCTGATGAGGTTAGTCAGCAGAACATCCACTGAGGTGGACTCTGTAACATCAGTCAGGATCTTATTGTGGTGGAAAGAAAATCGACTCTCATCCAGACCATCTAAGATGAAAAGAACCTGGAAGTTTTTAAAGCTGTCAATGCCTGCATCTCTTATTGGTTCAAAGTGTTTATGAATCAGTCCCACCAAGCTAAACTTTTCCTCTTTTAGAGCATTTAGCTGTCTGAAGGTGAATGGAAATATGAACTGGATGTTCTGGTTGGTTCTGCCTTCAGCCCAGTCCAGAGTGAACTTCTGTGTTAAGACTGTTTTCCCGATGCCAGCCACGCCCATCGTCATCACGGTTCTGATCCAAGCCCTTCCTCCAGATGAATTGAAGAGGTCTTCTGATCTGATTGTTTCTCCTGGTCTGTTTTGTTTCCAGGATGCTGCTTCAATCCTTCTGACCTCATGTTCAGCATTGACCCCTCTAGTCTTTCCCTCTGTGATGTAGACCTCTGTGTAGATCTCATCAAGAAAGGTTTTCTTTCCAACTTTAGCAACACCTTCAGAGACACATTCAAATTTCTTTTTCAGAGCCTCTTTCAGGTCATCTTGACATCGACTGACAACCTCTGAATGAAGAGACAAAAACAGATTTCAGACAAATTAAAGAATAAAAACTATTTGTGAAATTTTCTATGGGGTCTTTCTATTATAATGGCAAGGTATCAAAGTAGGTATGTAAGTACGTCTAACATTATGAACAGAGTTTATGCAGCTGTTACTATGAAACACTGCACTAGAGAGAAATCCTGAAGCTTAAAGTATACAAAAGAAAATCAAGATGTCTGAAGCCATGTGTACACGTCATCGAACCAGGGATGACCCAAGTACTATCAAATGTGGGGCCCTCTATTTCTGCTAATAATCAAAAGTCTTGCTATTTGGTCATCCACACCTGATATAAAACAATTGTAGTTCTGCTATTGCTGTTCCATCTTTAAGCATCATCTAGTGTTACTAAAAGTAATAAAGAACAACAAAGAAATAAAATGGCTTTGAAAAATAAAAGAAACCCTCAATGCCAAATGGCTGCAAAGCTGCTGACACACTAGTTGGCAGATATTTTTTGTTTATTACAAAAAGAATCAATAGCCCTTAGATTTTGCCCTCAACTCTCTCTCTACATTTATATCTCTCCACCTCCTCTGGAAATTAACATGCCCACAAAAGGTTGGATCATTTTATCATCTTCCAAATAAAGTGGAGTCAAAATCTGTTTGAAACATTCCTTGATTCTGGACATGTTAGAGCACCCCTAAGTAAACTTAAACTATCATATTCTGATGGAATGTTAAACAAATGCTTGTGCATGCTGCGATATGGACCGATACAAACATATAGACACCTCAGACACCAGAATGTTAGGCTCTAATATCATTTTCTGAATTCAATTTTTTATACTTTTGATACTATGGTCATTTTCGATGATGCACCTTAATAAGAAAATACAAGTTTTTATTGGTAGCTACTTTTCTTCAGCCTTGGAAGTGCATAATGTGTCAGTATGTAAGGTCAAGCACAGCATAATGCTCTGCTCAAACAAACGGAGACAGATCAAACAGAAGTGTATGAGAAGTTATTTTAGTTCCACAAAGAGCCAAAACATGACCTAAGATGATTGTGGGAGAAAACAGAACCCTGTTTAAACATCTCAGATGAAACCAAATAGCAAAATATGCTGAATTGATGATGAGGACAGAGTAGGAAGAGCATAGGTTCTGCTAGGGTCTCTGTGATTCAGGCTGAATCCTTCAGGATGTGTCCCTGAAAACCTGAGACCTGGGTCAGTTTGTGATAAACATTCTCTGCTTACTGTTGACTCAACATCTCCACCAATGGTTTGCTCTCTGGAGTTCAGGGGAGACCACCTGCTTTAAAGGGATATGAAGTTCTTATGTCTGAGACTGTCCTTGAGCTGACCTCACCTTCAGCCAGATGCTCCTGGGACTGACCTTTAGCTGACCTTTGACCTTCAGTCAGTTGTTCTAGCTTCTTCACCAGGTCGTTTTTGCTCATCTTCTTAAGAATATTTCCCATGATTGATGAAGCTCCACTGAGCAGGTACTTTTGCACCATCAGGTCCACAACAGTATGGCTCTCTGCCCCCTCCAATTTGCAGTGTTTGATGGGCTCTGTTCCATTCCAGGTCTCGTTCTCGAGGTGCCATTTGAATTTGTCAAATTCCTTTCTTTTCAAATCCTCAAGGATGGTGTCAAGGTTCTCCTTAGAACACATCGCGATCTACAGCTGAAATCAGAGGAAAACCATAAGTCAGAGTTACATTAATTGTTTTTTGTCGTACACTGAGCATGAATGTAGCAACAATGGAGAAGAAAACCTCTAGCAAAATGGGCCTCAGTGTGAGCGGCCATCTGCCAAGGCCGTTTGGGGTTCAAGGAGATAGAAGCAAATATGCAGACATCGATGTAAATGAAATAAGATCTTTGGTGCATGGGCCCCAGCAGAAGACTTTGATGCTGTGAATAAACGTTCACTTGGATGAGTAATTAGAAAAGTCTCCCCCTCAAAAAAGAAGTTTCCTGGGCCAAGGTAGAAGACTAGAACCCAGAGCCAGGTTGCGAAGGGATAGAAATTAAAGGAGAAGCAGAGCAGCACAGCTGATCATTCTAATGGAGAGGCAGAAGGAAAAACACACCAAGGTGATAGAGACAGGGGTAAGTAGAGACTAATAGAAAGAAAAGGTGAAGGACAATTGCAGCACATGAGGATGCACCACTAATACAGAAAATTATGCTAATGATGATGATAATTATTAGGATGATGTCAGGATGTCCCTTCATCCACCAGGAGGCACCTGGTTCTGGTCCGCCTTCTCACACACCTCCTCATGGTTTCCTCGTTAAACGGAATGTTCTTAAGCTGCTGACTGCCACTACCTCGAGTGTTTGCCAGTTTGGGATACTCTAGCCAAGCTGAGTTTTGCTGAGTCAAACTGAGTTTTTGTCAACCTGAGTTTAACTTTGTTTTTGTCTTTGCCTCTCGGCAGGAAGTTATTCTGCAAACTAGATTTCTTGGACCTTCTCTCCCTGGAAGGATCAACTGAGCTTCAAACTGAGCTGGGGTTCAGACAGGAGGTTTGGATCCACTTTCCCCAAGAGATCGTTTGAGCTTCGAACTGAGAAAGGGATTATTCTCATCTACGACCCGTTCAAGTACCGCAGGAAATCTGAGTGGCAGTCAGTCTCTCCGTTCACCAACTAACAACCGCATTCTGGGTAAACCCTGTTCCACCCTCCACCGAATCAGACAAACACTGGAACTACAGCACACAGACAGGAGTCAAGGATTCAACTACTTCTCTGGAAACGTGAGTCAGCAACCAAATCCTCTTCTCCAAGTTCACGAGTCTAGTTCCCCACTGAGCCTGAACTAACCGCTGTATCTTCCCCTCACTTTTCAGTTCCGGTTAAGCAGTGTTCAGAGCAACACTTCTCCCTCTGTTTTACCTCTTCAATAAAACCCATTAAACCTTTTCCCTGGTCTCCCTGTTCGGTTTTCTGCATTTGGGTCTGAACTTTGTAAAGCATGACAGATGATAATGATGATAATAGCTGCTTGACAGATTGTGTGCTGGATAAGTTATAATTGATGGACTGAAAGCCTTCATGGAGACAAGCATAGAGACAAGCAGAAAATAAGCAGAATGTGGAAAGTAGAAGTAGAAGAAGAAGTCTTACCACCAAGAGAACATTGAGCATTTAACAGGTAGGGGAGGTACGGATGGATGCGCGGAGCAAAAGCTAAAGAAGATCAAGTGTACAAGTAACTGAAGTGAGGATTCTTCAGAGTAACCTATTAAAGGATGATTTCAGAGAAAGTTTAACCAAACTCTTGGACAGAAGCGGGGTTAGGAATCGAGAATGACCATGCTAAGAAATATCCCTCAAGACCTGAGGATGGAGCTACACCCATACGAAAATGAATGGGATAAGCGGAGTATAAGATTATCCATATTATTTGGAATGATCTACTGCAGCAGTTTTGATTAGTCCTACAAGTGGTCATGCTTGCTGCGATGCGCCAGTCGTGATGCTCTAACTGCTTGATGCATCTGCCATGTTGCCCTGTGCCGATGCAGTGTGCTGATGCATTGCACCTGCCATGATAGGTTGTGGGTGTGATGCACCAGATATGATGGGCCAAGGGTGTGATGCAAGGTGCCTGCTGTGATGCGCAGAATGTTTGATGTGATGCACCCACCATGGATGGGACATACGCCTACTGTAACATAGTGCAGATATTGAAACAGAGACAATGTGCTGTGGTAATCTCTTCGAAAATGTTTGCCTCCACCTGAGTCTTCTGGAGTTTCACACAAAGTAAGTCGGGCTGAATTGTATTAAATGCACTGGGGGAAAAAAGAACATGATTCTGAAAGTGTTGTCTGTCTTTTCTAAGTAGCAAATCAGGTGTGTGATCATCCTTTTACATTGCAATCCAACAAATATCTGGATGGAACACGGATCACTGGCAGCGTCATAAGGAAAGGGGACACACAGATGGACAAGGCTGTACTATTTGGACGCCATCACAGAGAAACATGTAAGCAGTGAGGATTCCTGCAATGTAACATTTGATCTGAAAATATGGCACTAGACAATGGTTCACTGCAACAATATGATATGATATTAATAAGATATTATAAAACTTGAAACAGTTGTAAATGGAATGAAAATCTAAGATAAAATGTGCAGACCGAACAAATGTGAAACTTGTCTCGACGGTACAATTTCACAAAGCATGTGAGGGCAAATGAGCTATTAGAGCTAGTTGACACAGATCTGGATGGACCTATTTAACCAGAAGGGTATAAATATGAAATCACATTCACATATGATTTTTCTGTTTTAATAAAACAAAGCAGTTGAGGCAAGTAAGCAGCTCTTAGCAGACATGGCAGCGTATTGTAAAGTAAAACATTAGAGATCAGACAATGGGACAGATTTGGTGTCAGAGGAATACCAGCAAATGTTGAGAGATAATGCTATACAGCATGAGAGGTCTGCAACATCCTGTCCAGATCAAAATGGGACTGCAGAGGGGAATTTTGGCACACTCTTTGAAATGGTGTGATATATGCTGATAGATACAGGATTATTTAAGAATCTGTGGCTTCATGCTGCCATCACAGCTACAGTTATAAGGAAAAGGTGTTACTGTAAGAGAACAGGAGAAACACCCTATCTTCTATTCACTGGAAAGGGGATAGATCTGTCCAAAATGAAATGTTTGGTTGGTGCATGTGCAGAAAACAAAACAAAACAAAAAAAAAAGCCTGATCCTAAATGCAAAGAGGGATTTTGTTTTTGGTTCTGATCATCATTCAGCAGCTTTTATGGTTTATTTTTTTAGAGACAACGTTCAGAACCACACACTGGCCCACTTCATTACAAGGGATGTCACTGAGCAGCATACACAGACTGATGTAAACCATCTGGAGGACAACTACATATACTCAGTAATTACACCAAGTCACATTAATCAACCACTGATCAGAGAAACAGATCAGACAATAATGGATAAAGAGAGAGACTCAGAGCAGAAGATTGAAACAGATTCAACTACTGAAATACAGATGACATGCATTAAAAGTAGATTGTAAAAGAAACACAAATATTTGGAGGATTATGAACAGTACTCGAGATGAGGGGGGATGGTATCCCCTTCTGAAATGACCATCCCCCAGTGCCATCCCCTGTGACATTTTATCCGTAAATGCACAGGTGTAACTTTCTGAAGGGCTGGTGTGGACGTCCCCACCAATGATATCTGCTTTTTTCCCCCTTCCGCTCATTTACTTTAGCCTAAGGCAGTGGTTCCCAAAGATTATCTTCTG